GATACAATTACGACAAGTAAGTAGAGACTCGTACCAAGGAGAGTTCTTTGCTTGAAAAGCCTATTTCCCAAGTCTAGAGGAGGGATTGCAAACTCAAATGTCTCGGGGGCCAGACAAGTGTGTTAATGAGTCAAGCGAGCAGGAGGGATAATACAGGGAACAGTGCAGACAAGGACGGCCAAGAGAGGTGCACCCTTTAAAACGTGATAATTTAACTTTTATGATAGACAGCTATGGCTAAACTAACCAAATCTGCTGGCCACGTCCATCCCATCTGCTGCCAGTTGGCAACCTGCAGTCTGGGACAGAAAAAAACCATGTTTTTCTGGAAGCAAATTCCAAAATTGGCTATGTTTGTGAATCACTACCTGTCAGGATAAACATAAACCCTTTCTTTTTAAAAAAGAAAGCTCAGAACAGCAGCAAAGAAATGGAAGCTAAAATAAGAGGCAGTTACAAAGAGTGTGATGTAAGACTTTGCTCTCGGTGTGTATGGTTAGGGCAGTGGTGCTTACACAGAGGACAGAGCTCTGAGCTACTGTTTTAAAGGACGCTTGGTGTCCCACAAAACCAGCACAACTCCGCTCACAATGGGCACTGATGTTTACCATTGTGCGCTTGACCCCAAGATGCAAACCCTCCTCCACCTTCTACCTGACTCAGGCCCCTGCTGTTTCCCTTTGAATATATCTGAGCACAGCCTATACACTGGCCAGTTTTAGAGTAGCAAAAAAAGTAATATTTGGAAGATATCTGTCAATGTCTACCCTAGGGAATGTGGTATCAGTGAATCGTGTCTATTGTTTTTAACATAATATAGAGAAACAATGGTAATAATAATGGCAAACATTTATTGAGCAACTACTATGCCCCAAATGACATAAGGCTTTTTAAGACAATTAACTCATTTAGTCCTCATAATAATTTTAAGGTACTATGATTGTTCCAATTTCCATTTGAGGAAACTGAGACACAGAAGGTTACTTGCCCAAGGTCACAGCTGGTAAATGGCAGCTAATAAACCGGGATTCCCACAGAACCGATGTGGCTATGTCCCTTATTTATAGTTGGTCTGAACATGAATCTGCTTTCATAAGCAGGCTGATTGTAATTTTCAAATAATAGAAATCCTTCGGTGATAATAAAATTTGACCACTGCTGAGATTTCAAAGGTGTATTGGCTGCTGCTTGTTTATGAGATGCAAGCTAATGCATAAATGAACGCAAAACCATGTAGGAAGACCATTATTTCTAAGGCATTAAAGATAAATTCAGAATGTTCATAGCATATATTCTGGAAATGTCAAAGAGGGTTTGGAGAAAAGTATGTCCAGGTAGTGTATATATAAGAGTGACACCTGATGGTGTTAGAGAAGGGGCTTCACCTAGTTGGGGGGTAATGTACAAACACTTACCTTTAAATCACTGAGGGAGGCTTCTTCATAATCTTCCACCAAACTCAGTATGGTTGAAATTGGCAAGTGGGTATCCATGACCAGTTCATGCTTAAATTCTGCTAGAAAGTCAAGGGCACTAGCAATCCGTAGTATTTTCTACCACTACTACCCAGTCAGACATTCAGCTTTTGGGAAGCCCCTAAATTAGTCTGGGTTCTTTTTTAAATTCAATTTTCTAATTTCAGAGATGTGTTACATGAAACCCAGACAGACACAAAGGAACTTATACGTGAAAGCAAAGAGTGTGCTGGCAAAAAAGACAAGTCTATGTTCCTTTCTGTTTATCTAGCTAATTCTGACCCATCTTTGAGATCAAAGCAGAAATGTCCCTTCCATGGGTTTGCTTTCCCTGGTCCCCCTAGAGGAAGTTAAACTTGCTGTCCCTGTCTTTTATGTGCTCTCAAAGACACCTACAATTTCCTCTCAAGTTAAATTCTAGTTAGTTATTTAAATTATGATTTGTCACCTTTTCTAGTCCACATGAACATTTAACCCTTGCTGGCCACTTACCCTGTGGGACACTATTCTAGTTGTTATATTTTTTTCAAATTTTTTAAATTTTGGGAGGAAAGCGAGAGAGAACCCATGAGTGATCTCGTGGGAGGGTCGGACGCCTAACTGAATGAGCGCCCCTATTGTAGTTCACATGCACCATCCGCTGGATCCATACAGCTCCTCTGAATGCACATCTTAGTCTCCCTGTTTCCATTACTGTCAGTCAGTAAAGGACACGGCCAGGATTTGAACCTCTGGAGTTTGTGCTTCTAATTCCTGCTTTATTATGCTTCTATATAAGCTCCAGAACAGCACCTAGCCAAGTGCTTGCTGAATCCCAGGAGATGAACAAGTTTGGGGCAATAAGTAAATGAATGAATGCAGGGAGGAGGGACTAGTTCTTGCTGCACAAAGTCACACGTTGCCCAGGAGAGTGCTGCACGCTTTTCTCTTATGAGTTTGGTGGGTGGCGGGACCCAAGAATTTGCAAATAAAAGCTAAGCCTCTGGGAGTCCTCTCACTACTCCCACCTTTCCAGATGGTCAGCTGTTGGAAAAGGTTTATTTTTCCTTTATGACTCTGGAGGAATCCTGAATAGAGCCCGCCCAGGTATCAGGACAGAGATGGAGCCCCAGAGAGACAAGATCCAGGTGGTCCACTGTACCAATCCCTCAACCTGTTCCAGATCCTTATGCTCAGGATTGCTAGAGAAATGGCATCTCCATTGTTCTAGGGGATGACTGATTTACTGGTCTGGGGCTGAGGGCAGAATTCGCTGATTAGAAGGTTAAGGTATAATTGTAGGCACAGGGTGCCTGGAGGCCACCTTTGACCGTTTGCTGTTTAACTGGATTAGCGTTGGCCAGTTATAGATTTTCTGCTTGCAGAATTGCCCGCAAATTATTCTGAGTCCTGAATCTGCATTCTGTGTGTGTGCCACTTGGGAAGTCAGCATTATGATTGCCTTGGAAGCAATCTTATGCTTCCCAGAGTCTGCTCTGAAGGCAAGGGAAAGTTTCACAAGCAGAACTGCTCCAATATGGAACTAGAATATCCTAACCCCTTTGATTTTTTGAAAGATGATGTCGGTCAGGGTGATAACTGACCCATTTCAATTTCTCTGATGTTCCTCGGTCCAGCCACACCGTGAACCTCCGGAGATTAATTCTCGCTCTCATTCCTTGGGGTTCAGTGCCTCTCAGTGGGCTGATATTTAGAGACAAGCCCTGGTTCCACGGCATTCCAACCTTTTGTGCACTCTTTGGAATTTGCTGGTGGGAATAATAGTTTTCTTCAACAGCCTGTGTCCAGTGGTTAAGAGTTTGCAATGCAAGATCAAAATTTGGTTTCCCAAGAAGCAGGCAGTAAATCAAAGATTTGAGTGCAAGTGGTTTTTTTTTTTTTTTTTTTTTTGGTTTTTTTTTTGGAGGGGGTGGTGTCAGACAACCCCGGGAATTGTCAAATTCCCATTTCATGAGGAAACGAGTCAGGGAAGGAAAGGCAGCGAATGGAAGGTGAGTTTTCTCACCGGATGCCGTCGTGGGCAGCTGGAGCCACACGTGGAGACAGGGAGACAGAACACTGCCTTTGAGAGCTCTCTTCTGGGGGGTGAGATGGCTGGGGTATTTGTGCACAGATTCTCATCAGTTATGGTCAAGGGCTTCTGCTCAGAATGTGAATTTCCAAACACTCTCTGCTGGCACCATGCTCTGTTAAAACGGCCTTCCCCAGGTTTCAGAGAAACAACTCAGGGGGGAGAAAAAAGAAGTAAAATCCCACCCCGAGACATGGAAAGCCTACGGTGGCTTGGGAGGAGCTCTGACCATCATCCAGATGAGAGGACACGTAAGCCTGGCTTTAGATCCTGGCCCCCATCCTCCTAACTGCACCATCCTGGGCAAAGTGTCAGCATCTCTAGAATGTGAGGCCCCTTGTCCTATGAAATATTAAATACATCATAAGCTGCGTTAGAGATCCAAGGAGATGATGCATATAGCAAACAGCATAGTGCTCGCCATATAGTAACCGTGGAAAACGTTAGCACTTATGTGTTAAGTAATACGGAGCGTCTTCTCTGGGCCAGTAAATGCAGTAGGTTCTTGGTATCAAAGTTGGGGAGAAAGAGGTCCCTCCCATCTTCACAGAGCTTGTTATCTTTACCTACTAAACGCGAAACTATTTCTTACCTTACTAAATCACCCCTTGTCCAAGAGTGTGTCACATACTTGTATATTCCAAAACATGCAGCCTAAATTTTTGACCCTGAGATGAAGCACCCCAAGAATTTGTAAAGAAAAAAACTGAGCTTTTAGAAGCAATTGTAAGTTTTAGATTTTTCTAGTAGCCAAACTTATAAGAGTAAAAAGAAAGTGGTGACATTGACTTTAATAACATATCTATGAAATCCAGTCTGTAAAATATTATTGTTTCAACATGTAATCCATATACAGATGATTAAATTAGGTATTTTACACCATTTTTCTTTTTGGTACTCAGTCTTCAAAATCCAACATATCTTTTATACTGATGACTTCAGCCCAGCTACAACTTCACGTGCTCTGTAGCCGAGTGTGGCTCATGGCCACCGTATTGGATCATGAAGGTCTAGTGGGCCCTGAATTCCTTTGGGAAATAATTTCCAGTGGAATATTCTGCTTTCCTCCTCCTTAAAGATGGTACTGCTCCTTTGCATCTATAACAGTGAAGTTGCTTTTAGCCTGGGCATCCTATGAAACTGACTGTTTTTGTAATGAAATTTCACACATAGAAACCATGGTGAGATTCTTAGCAGGTGTAAAAATCTGACAAAGTTATTTCTTTAACAGCAACTTGATGGAAACTACAGCAGCTGTTCCCATTTGCGTGTTTTCCAAATCTCATTGCCAAAGCGAATTGTTGGCAGCCACCGGAGAAGTATCAACTTACCTCTTTATTTGGGAAATGAAATTAAAACCTCAGCTCATTTCTAAAAGTCACAGATTTGGTAGAAGTTAGTGGGGCAAACACGTAAGCCGCTGTTAAAATATTGATGGCTTTGGTTTTTCTCAGGTGCTGCTGCTAACATCTGCAGAAGACTTGGACTGCACGCCTGGATTTCAGCAGAAAGTGTTCCATATCAACCAGCCCTCTCAGTTCATCGAGGACCAGGCGATTCTAAACTGTAAGCAATGTCACTCGGTGATTCTTTGGGTCTGTTCTCATATTTGAATTCACCAAAGTCTAAGAATGTGTCTCAGGATGCGGTATTCCCTAAGCGAAGTGTTTTCTGATCATTTTCCTTATGTGTCACTGCCTGATCCAGTGTGGAAGCGCTTGAATTAGAGCCTTGTCGGCTGAGAGGTGAAGAAAATGGCTGTGCATCTCTCGAGTATTTTGTCACTGGTGAGCACTTCCCCACTGCTCCCAGAAAAGGAGACCGCCAGCCGCCAGCAGGAGTGCTACTCCACGCAAAGGACATTAAATCCATTTCCCCTGGGTAGGTCCCTGAGAGCAAAACCAACGCCTTCCCAAGGATGTGCTGTTTTACTGGGATTTCTTATGCCTCATGTTAGATCAAAACAATGGTGAGAGCAGGATGTTGGCTTCTGGGAATTTTTGGTCAGAGGAATTCAAAACTCCTATTCTGAAAGCTAGTAAGAGGGTCTTCAGAGACATGCAAAACCTCTACTGGCTCTTTTGTGGACTAAACTCAAATCCCCCCAAATTCCAATTAAAATATGCTCTCTTCAGGTCTGTGGTTATAATCTCTTTCTATTTTTAATACCAGTATCATATTGTTTTATCTTTATGAGGGCATGGAGTGCATTGTTAAGTGCAGAGCAAGCCTTGTTTTAGCACAATAGAATCTAAAATTGATGGTAGACAAATAACGATAAAATTGTAAGCTCTGGAGCACCATTCTTTAACATTTGGGATTGTAGAATGTGAAAACAGTGGTCTAATTTGGTCAGATGCTCCAAGGTCCCTTAGGGAAGATCATTGCGCATTTGCCCTTACGGTCTCAGGCTCGCCTTCCACGCTAACCGTGCTCCTGCGTTCCAGTGCTCTGTGGCTGGTGTGTTTAAAGAAAAGGAAAACAAAGCAAGACAAACCAAAACAAAATAAAACCAGCCTGCTTGATTGGATGGTTCTGTGAGGCTGGAACGCATTTGGAGAGTTGAAAGGAGCACAGTAATGAAGATAAAATGCCGAGCATCGAGGGAGGTACCCAAGGTGAAGTCCACGAACATCTCAATGTAATTATACCAATGAAATCATTTCAGCAATTAGAGTCGGCGATGACAAGGTTCAGGCCTGGCACAATAAGTGAATTACAATGTGTGATTTCATGTTAATTTGATCCCTGAGTGTGACTCCTGGGTCAGGTCATCGGGAACCCTTGTCTTTTGATTCTTCTATTTATCAGAATCAAGGTATTTCAAAGGGAACTTTGCTTAAGAGAACCTTTTTTTTTTTTTTTTTTCCTGGCTCTTCTCCCCATTCATCTGTTTGTTTCATCTCCTTGCTTCTTCTCCTTCTCTCTCTCTCTGTCTCCCTTTTCTTTCTTCCTTTTTTTTTTTTTTTTTTTTGCAAGCAATTATCCCAAATGGCATCTATATTAACATGGGTGGAAATGCGAAGCCTCCCTGAGTATGGAAATTAATAGAGTTGGTATGCAAAGCAGGCCCATAAATGTGATTGCTTCTGTAATTTTCACGACACCAAACAGCTTTTAATTCACCGCTGAGAAGCTGGAAACAATCATACTTTGGGGGATCTTTTTAATTTAAACTAGACCATACTGTACATTCCAATATCACAGTTTTGTGTGTGTCTGTATTTTTTTTTTAATCCCCTAAGTAATTAAGCGGGTTATGGTTGTTGGTTCTGTGTAAGCTAGTAAATGCTAAATGGGACTGGCTTGATTATCAACGATAGCACGTTCAGGAAAAGTCAGTGATAGGGGAATTGAAGATTTTTAAAGTTTTAGATATGAATTTGTATGTAAATTGTTGGATCAGCAAAATCGGACTAGCCCCCTCTCAGTGAAACTGTAGGTTCATATGTATTACTAGGGTTAAAAAAAAAATACCAAGAGTACATCTAGTCTGGTGCTTTTGAGTTCCTGTCAAAACAACGAACATAGGTTGTTATGAGTTAGACCCTGCAAATGAAGTTAATTGTGCCTAAATGAAGAAGTAAGTTTCCATAGACTTGAGAATGCCTATTGAATATTGTTTTGGAAAATCTGGATTTCCAGAAGAGATAGCAATGTATTGCTCTATTCCAGAGGAAAGGAAAAGCCTGGAGAATTGAGTATTGACGAATCTTTCCACCAGGCCATGAACATTCCCCCTGCTCTCTCCCCCCTTCCTTCTTCCCCTCTCTTTCTCTGTTTCTCCCATGCATTCCCCTAGGGTTCAACGCAAGACCCTTCTATCTCTAAAAACGAGATTAACAAGAAACAATTGCGTGGTGGGTGCTCATAGGATGAAAGCCATATGGACACAAAGCTAATGTCTGCATGAAAATGGAAAAGAGTCAAACAGAACCAGAAAGTTTTAAAATACTTAGATACTTGAGGTTGCATGCCAAGATGTGGGAAATGGTTAGGATTATTTTAGCAACATATATGTAGAAGCTGAAGTTGTAGGTACTAAAAGAGGTTACAAGACACTAGGCTAGTAACATCTCTCGGACCCATTTACGGTGTTTGTACTTTCCAGTTTTGCTTTATCTTTACAATATTTAAGAGCCCTGGTTTCCAATGATTGTAAAGTTTTGTCTTGTAGAAGGTGTAAACACAGCATAATCAATCAGTTGATGTCTACACTTTTTACCATTCTCTGAGGTTGTCCGAAAGTGGTGTCTCTTTGCCTGACAGACACAATATATCTGCCCATACCCCCAGACTTATAGTCAACCAATTTTGGGTTCAGCTTTTAGCAGGCCATAGAAAATGTTTATTCTGTCCATGGCTTCCTGTTCTCTTTGTTCAGACAGTAATATTTCCTTTTATCCTTTTTCATCTTTCTCCTCAATTCTCAATGACTTATCTTTTTCTACTTTGACTGTTACTAATGGTCACCTCCACTCCTTTTATTTCCCTAATATTTTATTCACTGTTCACTCCAATACATCTTTCCTTCAGTTGTTCTAAAGCCTTTTATTTTCTTCACATCCAAATAACTCTTTATTCTACTCTCCTTTCCACTAACTAGACTTGCTTTCGTCTTTAAAAGGCCATTTTTCAACAAGCTTCTAGGATCAAAACATGGTATCCCACTATTCTTCTAATGTAACCAGGGGAGCTCTTTCATTGTACCTTTCACAGTGTGATGCAAAGCCCCCAACTCATGATAACTTGGACAAAAGTTTCCTGCCTTCATCTCAGTCTTGAAAAATGAACTGGGTAGATGTGCTTATTCCCTTTTTTTTTTTTTTTTTTTTGTATGAGAAGTACAAGAAGAAAGGGAAAGATAGCGTGGAAGACAGAAACTCAGGAGACATCTGTTCAAGGCCTTTGGACTCAGGGAGGGATCCTTGAGGGGTTTCCTCAAGGTAGGGAGTCCCTAGATGCCTCCCACACTTAGAATTCTCTTAATGAGTTAGTACTGTTGCTTCTTCTGTAATGTGAAAATCATGGGATTCTAGTACCCATCATCTTGGCCCCATGAGATTTGAACACTGATTCTGGTTACACTCTCCCAGCTGACACCCAGGCTTCAGAAGAATAAGTGACCTGGAAAACTGACCAGCCACCCAGCTGAGGTGGAAAAGGACCGGGTGATAAGGCGCTGACTATCTATGTTTGGCAAAATTATAGAACAAACTCTCCTGCCCTGGCCACATCAGCTCAAACACATCTTCCTAGCCTTGTGGCAAGATCTATGATTGAGTTAGCTAAGGGGAACGATACTCATGACCCTCCAGCTTCTATTAATGGGAACTAGCTCCAACTTCAAGAGTCCAGAAAGGACACCCCATTGGCTATCTAGGCATTATTAGATCAGCCGAATGTTTATAGCAGCAATGTCCACAATAGCCAAACTATGGAAAGAACCTATATGTCCATCAACAGATGAGTGGATAAAGAAGATGTGGTATATATAGACAATGGAATACTATGCAACCAAAGACAGACACTTTTCTGTCTCTTACTGTTTATCCTTCCTGAATTACTCTTTGTGAAACACACACACACACACACTGCTGCACCTGAGTTCACCTAAAATACAGCTTGTGTAATTAAACTTTTTTTAAATTTAAATTCAATTAATTAACATATGGTGTATTATTAGTTTCAGAGGTAGAGGTCAGTGATTCATCAGTCTTATGTAATACCCAGTGCTCATTCCATCACGTGCCCTCCTTAATGCCCATCACCCAGTTACCCCATCCTCTACCCCCTCCCCTCCAGCAACCCTCAGTTTGTTTCCTATGATTAAGAGTCTCTTATGGTTTGTCTCCCTCTCTGCTTTTGTCTTGTTTTATTTTTTCCTCTCTTCCCCTGTGATCCTCTGTTTTGTTTCTTAAATTCCACATATGAATGAGATCGTATGATAATTGTCTTTTTCTGATTAACTTATTTCGCTTAGCATAATACCCTCTAGTTCTAGCCACATTGTTGCAAATGGCAACATTTAATTTTTTGATGGCTGCATAGTATTCCATTGTCTCTATATACCACATCTTCTTTATCCATTCATCTGTTGATGGACATAGAGGTTCTTTCCATAGTTTGGCTATTGTGGACATTGCTGCTATAAACATTCGGATGCATTTCCCTTTTGATCATTACACTTGTATCTTTAGGGTAAATACCCAGTAGTGTGATTGCTGGTCATAGGGGAGCTCTATTTTCAACTTTTTGTGGAACCTCCATGCAGTTTTCCAGAGTGGCTGCACCAGCTTACATTCCCACCAACAGCATAAGAGGGTTCCCCCTTCTCCACATCTTCGCCGACACCTGTCATTTTCTGACTCGTACAACCCATAGAATTACACTTTCAATAACACACTTGGACTACTTAGAATAGGCTTGGTATCAAACAGTCCCAGTGACCTAACAGAGTAAAAGTTTACTTCTCATTCCAGTCACGAGGATGCTGGCCAGGCTACTCTCTTGGGTAGATAGACTCCAAGTGGGGGCTCTCCATTGCAGGAACTTAAGGAATCAGG